GTAAGTTTTCAATGTTAATTTCATTCATTGTATATTCTATAACAATTTTGATATGTTCTGCGGTATACCGATGTGCTGGGAAACAAACAGGCAGATAGACTGGTTGGATTTGCACCGCTTCGTGGTAAATAGGTATGACAAGCTAGATGTTGTACGGGTTGTTTTGGGGTGAGTGATAGGTAATAGATCATCATAAGGAAATAGATCATCATGGTCTGAGGATAATAGTGCTGTGGGATTGTTAATGGTGCAACCGGAAATGGAACTCTGGACTTGCTGCTGATGATGGTGACGGAGCGCTTATGAGAGTGTCTTAGGTGCTGTGATGTATATCCCTAATTCAATCATCAACATTTAAGTTGTTCTAGAAGAACATAGCCACTGACATTTCGAATAATGGGTCGAATAAGCAAGAACGTACACGAGAAGCTCTGCGACGAACAAAATGAAAGAGACCAACTTGTGTGGACTTTATTCCCCGCACGACGTCAGGGAGAAAAACTGCATTCGATTCTGTGATTTAGAATCACAGAATAGGCACTGAAATGAGAAGCAAGGATATTTAAGAGAATAGGCACTGAAATGAGAAGCAAGGATATTTAAGAGAAACTACGGCGAACGTTGAACAGAGAGAGAGAGAGAGAGGTGTGATGAACTCAGATGGAAAGAATAGAATGACAGAACCAGCTGCTAGCCTTGAATATCGTTTAAATGGCACAGTTGGGTGATAATGATCAGGGCTTTGGGTGATGGTACACGGCGGTACAGTCAGCGTCTGTGGCCTAGGGGTAGCGAACACGCTATGTAATGCCGAGGGCGCCGGGTTCGATCCCAGCTGCGGACAATATGTCGCGGTGATTTCGACAGTGATAGACAGAGCTGGTCGTTCAATAAACAATAGCATACTAGTGAACATAAAATTTGCCTAGAAAAACTACAACAGGCAGAAAATGCTGGGTTTGGTTCTGCAACGTCCTGTAAAGAATACGCAACTAACAAAACACGGCGGTAGACAGTAAAAGCACGTGTTTAGATTTTGAGCGCTACTGTTTAAGACATTTTGTGGTGAGTACCGGCACCTATTATAGACACTTCAGTCAGCAGCGGCACCTTCTTTTTCTCTACAAACTTTAAAAAAATAAGCCCATATAATGATGATATGTTTTCGGTTTCCATCTCACACGTTCTATTGGATTCATTGCTTGAAATTCATGCATGTATAGAAATATAGAAACGTTGTGTGTCTTACAATGCAATTTCAATTGTTGAAGAAACTTTAAAGGTACTGATATAGCAAGAAATTTGAATTGACTGCATTGCATATCATTGCACACATACAGAATGAAGCCTTGTGGTTAATTCTGGGATGTACAAGAGACCTCCAGTAGTATGTATTTGTGACATATACTTGCACTGCCTACGATTCTATATAGACTTAAAGCAAGCAAAGTCATATAATAGAGTAGCTGCAGACAAGAAGCACCTCCTGCATGAAGCCATATGTATAGCTAAGTTCCACAGACTGAAAAGAGGACGGTCTTAGACGGCGCAGGCTGAAGACACGATTAGACATGTATAATTTGGGCGACAAGCGGAGTGGGTCAGTGTGTCCGAGCAAGAATCAGAATTATAGAGGGTTCTAATCACTATAGGTCGTGAGTGCAGGGACTGACCAGCTGGTGCTGCAGAATCAGCAGTTCAACAAATGATTCATGACAAATTCCGCCCGTGTGGTGAGGTTATCTATACAGATGGCTCCGTATTGAGAGGTAGACCAAATGCATGGGGTTCATGGCAAAAGCTAATGGAAGTCGCTTAGTGTAACAAAGCCTGGCATATGATATCACAAGGTCTAGTCTGAGAATAGAGGTGGGGGTTGTCACTGCTGCCTCCTGCTGTCTTGAGAATGAGCTGTACACACCTGCCGTGTAACTGACTCACAGAGCATGTTAAGAAACGTGGAGACATGCATACTCCTTATAAAATGGCGAGCATCGCTTAAGAGGTCCCCGTTAGTTAGCGACCTTTGAATATTTTCTCCAGGTTATGTCGATGTATTGGGAAACGAGACTGACTGGTTCTGCACCACTTGGTCGTGAATTTATGTACGACAAGCTAGATGTTGTAATGGTCCTATGGAAGCGACTGAACAGTTGGGAGGCATAAATAGATCATAGGAGTTACCAGTGGATCTGGCCGACGCACAACACTCAATGGAATGGCGAGACGGATTACAACCAGACAAGAACTGGTACAATCGGAATTGGAACTCTTCGCCTGCTGCTGAAGATGGGGTCGGGGTACTCATGGAAGTGTCCCGCGTGCTATAATGTTGATTCTTAATTTAAAATTTAGCATTCTACATTTGAATGTCATTCACATTGAGAGTGGTGTGGTGGACACACACAAAACTTGAAGCTATCCAGATCACACTGAGATTTGATGCCTCTGATTCGAATGCTGGAGTGTCCGCTGTAGCTGAGTCTTTGACTCTTGTAGCCCCGTGAATTGTTAAACACAGTACATTTGTATCATGCTTATTTCGTACTGTAGAGAAATTTTTTTTAATAAGTTAACATAAAACACGCGCAGGCTAGAACACGTTAAAGTAAGATTTGGGACAGATTAGTAAATGTCATAGATTAAGGACGTTAACAAGTTGAATATATTAACACTGAATACAATGGTCCTCTTCTTTTTTCTTTTTTTATTTACGGACTGAAAGTTCGGGTTGTTCGTCCATTTGGACCTTGGCTTTATGCCAGGGTCTGAGTTTTGCGTGTACATCCGTTTTACTGGCTTATTTGCGTGCAGCTGGTTGTTATTTGGCACTTGGAAATATGCACTGCTACTTTAAAGAAAGCCCCCAATTAGTCGGACTCCTACGACATGCTTGTTTGGGTGTACTGGGTCTGTTTTCGCGAGGAATAAAATAGTCAATAAACATATAGTCAGATAAACAAATAGTGAGACAAACATAAAGTGAGATAGGCATATAGTGCGTTGGTTGGTACTAAAAGGGTTAATCTCTGGTTTATAATTGCTACCTCTTTTCTTTATCTTTACGAGTGGGGATAAAAACCTGAAACGTATTTCTCGTGTATGTCTGAAGTTGATTGCAATCTTTGTATTATCAAAACAAATTTCATGTCGTCTTCAGCTAGTCTAGCAGACCGCTTTGCCTTTACTTGGACAAGGGTATAGGCGTCGTACCGTGTAACAAACCTACTGGACATAAATTTGCCTAGACAAACCACACAACAGAAAAAGAATAGTGGAGCTGGTAAGCAGAGCCCCGAGAATGTTGTGGAATCATAGAAAGTGTTTTATTCTTACCTAGACCCACACATTCACAGTAAAAAAGAAATTCTTTAATCAACAAAGAGACTGCAACAACCCGCCCCTACCCCCCCCCCCCCCCCCCCCAACCCTACAAAAAAAGTTTGTATTGTCACGATGGTTTAGTCTTAAGCACTGTCAGTCTCTTGGCATATATTTCACTCTGACAATCCTGTGTCATGCATTGCTTCGTGTCATTATCTTTTAAAAACTACTGTCTTCATCGCACATATCGGCATTTCCCTTCTTGCAGGTTGGAAATCAGTTATGGCGAAAGGGCCTGCTACTACCGACCCCATTTGCTCATTGTGCAGAGCTAAGCAAATGCTCGAGCACGTATTGTCCGCGTGCAGAAAAACCCTAGTCCAGGGAAGATATACTGTACTTGGCGCCACAATAAAGTCCTCAGAAAGTTCGCTGGACTGAGTTAGCATGAGGGCCAACGTGAGGGCCAGTCCTATCGTCACCCCCATGCGCTTTCTCGAGGCTGGGCAAATTTATAAAGCTAAAATCAACAAGGTCGCATATTCTTTATCAATACTTGACTCTGCGAGGGACTGGTTACTGGCTGTCGACCTGCCTGGTTTCAAGAGGTACCCAGAGTCAATCCGGAAGACCGGCCTAAGACCTGACATAATTCTGCACTCTGCGGAAAAACGACAGTTCATCTTGATTGAGCTGACCGCGCCATACACGTCACGAATGGACGAAAATCACACGTACAATCTCGAAATAATACGGTGAGCTCGTTGCCTGTCTGAGGAGAGACGAAGCGTTCACAGTAAAAATCTTCGCCGTCGAGGTAGGCGCACATGGGCTTATCTGCACTTCCATGTGCAGTGTGCTAAAGCAGCTGGGCTTGCAAGGAAACGAGCGTAAACGGTCACTGAAACATCTGGGTGAAGCTGCTGAAAGAGCTTCGAGCTGGCTCTGGACGCAACGGAACGTCGTGTGGGATTGGCCTCGGTAGTCATTTTTTGAAAAGAACATCTTATCCTTTAAAAGCTAAAGTGTCCGAATGTCCGCGGGTGTCTCTCTGCTAAAGTCTAAGAATTGTCTAATAAATCAACCATTAGCTTGTTACTGTGGTCGTAAAGGTAGTCAAATTATCTAATTTGCTATCGCAGCGACAATATAACACCCATCTCACAGCACCTGTTTCAAAATCAGCATATCGTCTTGTCCCTATCGAGTTCGATGAAGTGCAGCAGGGGAAGATCGGAGCCTGGCTTCGTGACCCAAGTCGGCCCACCTTCCGAGATTGTTTAGAGAAACCATGGGCCAAAACAGTTTCGACAAAGGATCTCTACTGGTGACCGGTGGACCCCTGCTGTGCATGCTCCCGTGTGGAGTTCTTATTATTATTATAATGTAGGTCTGAATTCAAAGTTGGCCTGAATTTCTTCTAGTGTAGGTCTGCATTCTCTCTGCTTTCAGTATAATTTCTTCTAGTGTAGGTCTGCATTCTCTCTGCTTTCAGTATAATTTCTTCTAGTGTAGGTCTGCATTCTCTCTGCTTTCAGTATAATTTCTTCTCCTGTCAGTCTGAATTCATTCTAGTGTATGACTGTATTCTCTCTAGCGGAAATCTTATCTTTCTTACAACCCCCCCCCCCCCCTCGCTCTGTCTTTCTCTCTCTCTCTCCCTTTCTCTCTCTCTC